TAAACAAAAAGACCAATATTTAAATGTCAGTAAAGCAATTTTGAAAGTGCTTAAGAGAATCAAGGCATTTATAGCATTTAAATATGAGAAAAGTAAATTGGACTATAATTTTCAATCCGCAATGCATCACTGTTTCTTTGTTGCAACCTAGTTCGCTGTATATCACAGGCCTTCCACAGGGCAAATACTCTCCATCTAGTAACTAGATGCTATTAATTCATTTCAAAACCATTCAGAGGTACTGAAAATAATCATTAAATAAATAATGAAACCTTTAAAGCAGCTGGGAATATTCTGTAACACTTATTTTAGCATGCAGTACAACCTGTCAACATGTTGTCTATATTCAGGTAAAGGCTTTTTTGTACATGATTGGTGGTTGCCTAATAGCAGCTCTAGAAGAAGCCCATATTTCTTCATATGCTACCACTGACTGCCTTTAAGGATAAGAATGTCCCAGCTTTCTTAAATCCTACTTCTCTTACGTTAAGCAGTGCTGGAGGCGCATTTAATCTGTCACTTAAAATGGGTTTGAAAAATCTGAGCTAAAGCCAGTGAGAGGATTCAATATTAAGGCTCTAGAACTAATTAGTGTTTGGGGAAGAATACGTTTTGCAGTGAGATCTAGGATGGGGAAGGATATTCAGTGTAAAAAATTGAAGAACATTAGTTAAAGCAAAGCTTTTATCAGTAGACCTATAATTTGGATTTCTAATGTACTTTCAATACCTTGGAGTGTTTTGTAGCATATTTATTTCAATGTAAGCGATAATGTGGCTAATATTTAATAATTAATTTACATGTATAATTTACATGTACTGTATAATTGTACAGTGGATTCTGGAATTATTGACACCCCTAGATAAATATGTAGACAAAAAGTCATAATAAAATAAACCACATAGTTAACGACAGATATTTAATACTCATATTTAAGGGGAATACTTGTCCTTTTTTTCTTAACAATTTTTCATTTCAAGGTTCAATTGTAAACAAGTAATGTTTTACCTGAAAAACATGGCTGCCAAAATTATTGGCATCCTTCAAGATCCCATCAGATACAATCAAACACATCTGAAAAAAATGATGTATTTATACTTGTTTGTGTTTAATTTTGTCTTAAGGAACTAATGTGTGTACTTCCTGTTTTCCTAGGGTATAAAAATGAAACGCACACAGAAAAATCTTTCTCATCCATCAGCGTGGGGAAGGTCAAAGAACTAACAACAGAAATGAGGCAAACTTGATCTTCACAAAGCAAATAATGGGTACAAAAAATAAGTAAAAAAAATTAAAAATACCTACATCGACTGTCAAAGCAATAATTAAAAAATTCAACACCACTGGAACAGTGGTTAATTTGCCAGGAAGAGAATGCAAGCCCATCTTGTCCCCACGCACAGTGAGAAGGATGGTGAGGGTGGCAAAGAAAAATTCAAAGAAATACAAGAATTGGTTGCATTGGGGGTTACCCTGTCTTAAAAATGACTATTAGACTACACCTCCATGCCAACAAGCTATTTGGAAGGGTTGCCAGAAGAAAGCCCCAGCTGTTGCAGAGGAACAAACTGAAGTGCTTGGTGTTTGCCAAATGCTATTGGCACTTTGACTTGAAGCGGGTGCTGTGGTCAGATGAGACCAAAATTGAACTTTTTGGCCACAGTCATCACAAGTACGTTTGGCGTAAGAAGAGGGATGCACATACCAAAAAGAGCATCATACCTACTGTAAAATATGGTGGGGGATCTTTGATGCTCTTGGGCTGCTTTGCTGTCAGTAGTAATGGGTCCCTTGTTAAGATCGATGGCATCATGGATTCTCAAAAGTCCCAGAATATTTTCACCAAAAACTTGGCTGCCTCTGCCAGGAGGCTGTGTCTTGGCCAAAGATGGATCTTTCAACACGACAATGATCCCAAACGCACTTTTAAATCAACAAAGAAATGGTTGACAGCAAAGAAAATCAGTGTTTTGGCATGGCCATCAGTCTCCTGACTTGAACCCTATTGAAAACCTGTGGTCTGAGCTGAAGAGGGCTGTCCATAAGCGCATACCTACAAACCTCAAAGATGTGGAAAGGTTCTGCATGGAGGAATGGTCTAGGATCCCTGTGTTCACCAACCTGACAAAGCATTACCAAAAAAGACTTAATGCCATTATCCTTGCCAAGGAAGGCTCCACCAAGTACTAAAAACAGGGGTTACAATAATTGTGTTTCTTTTATTTTGGGGAAAATATTTTGTAATGCCTTGGTTGTTTTTGTCTTGGTTGATTCCATTGAATCATTAATTCAGGATAATTACTGTAATTCCTTATGTTGGAAATATATTTTAGTGCTTAATGAACTCATTATTTGTTTTACACTTCTTTTTTTCCCCATTATATTTATCAAGGGGTGCCAATAATTCTGGAGTCCACTGTATACACAGTAGTATTACAGCTTCCTCTTTGGGCAGTATGATGTCACAGTGGTAAACATTGCTACCTCACAGTGCTGGGGCCCTAGGTTCAATTTTTGACTGGGAGTTCAATCTGTGTGGAATTGGTGTTTTCTCCCTATGTTCACCTTGGTTTCCTTCCACAGCACAAAGACATATTGGTAGCAAAAATGTTACTTGAGTAATTGATGAGTGTGTGTGTTTGTTTGTTTGTTTGTTTGTTTGTTTGTTTGTTTGTTTGTTTCTGTGTCTTTCTGCTCTGCAATGGGACTAGTACCCAATCCAGGATACACCCACAATGTTTCCCAGGATAGGCTTCAGCTCACCTGTGACACTGCATTAGATAAAGCAGTAGGAAAATGGATGGATAGATAGATGTTTCCCCTTCTATAATTTTCACAGCTGTGAATAAGCCAAATATCTGCTTGCTTGCACAGTGCAGAAAGGCTTGTGATAGATTAACCACATTGTACAGTAGCTTTGAAATCTGTGATTGTGTCCAAAACAACTGACATCTGCAGCCAGCAGGGCAAGACAAAGACACTTACAGTATATGCACACACCTATGTTAATAAGACAGCTTTGTTTAAATCTGACAAACTATTCCAAAAATAGAAACAGGTTCATTTGACTGTACGTGATCAATGAAATCTAGTAGTTTAATTTAAATGTAATGGCTCTCGTTTTTATAATATAAATAGGCAGATCACAAAAATCTGACATCAATCGTATGAGTGAAACGCAGAGGTCTGTACAAGATATCTGCGTATACTTTCACCAGAGAAACAAATGATTCAGATCATTAAATCTTGTTTTTTTCTCATTGCTGTGAGCATTAAGGATACAGAAACAGACAAGCAGACTGGGTTATATTGGGTGCAGTTTGTTTTGTATGAAAATCTGCCTACAGCTGGGGACCTAAGTGAATACATTTCAGCAGCTGCATAATATCACCTATTTGTGTTCTGTTAAATCGACCGTGTTGTTTTTTAAACATTTACAATACAGTACAGTATGTATTCCTTTGGACATTAATTATAAAATGCTTCAGTGATGTTGTGCTGTTTTATGTAGTAACAGTCCTTTCCTAAATACTGGGATTTAAAAGGGCACTTTAACCTACAGAAAACGTCATTTATATTTTGAAAACTACTGGATTCATGTTGAGCTATCAACACCTACCAAATAAGTCCGGAGACCTTCCACAGGAAGCAGAGCAAAAAGCTTGTTGTTAAGCATGTGCAGTAGCAGACACACACGGTTTATCAGAACCTTAGCTACACGTAGATCTTATAAAGCACAAAATAAGAAAATGATTGTACTTCCCAAAACCAGACACTATGAAGAAAAAAAAATCTAAATTTACTTTAATTGCATAATACCAGATAATCGGAAGCTTCAAAGCAAAGTCATAGATGAAATCATTATCTCCATGTGTACCAAAGACATTGTCTTTTAAGCTTGAAATAATGGGCAATAATTTAAACTTGAACAAGGTTTGGGAATATGGTTTGAGGATGATGATGGGCTGTTATCAGTTTATACCTGTCATTAAATGTCAGTCAAAAAGTGCTACTGATAGACACCAAGCAGCTGTGAAAATGCAACCAAAAAATAACTCTCAATCATCGCCACAGATTTCCCAGGCCATTTTATTTTTTCATTCAACTGCTATTTGTCTGAAATTTGAAAACCAGCCACAAGTGTGATATCATATTGTGTAAAAATATACAGTACATCACCAGTACCTACAGGGACAAATATCAACTGCCTATTCCATGGTCCTAATATATTGTTAATCATATTGTTGTTACATTTTCAAAATAAAAATACTGTACTCCTTAGCTTATATCTTACCGTCCAGTTGTAAGTATGCATTGTGATTTCATATTGATGTAACGGAATAACAGTGGCATACACTTAATACATTGTGAAGTGGTCTTAAACCAATTGGCTTGAAATGACTTCTTTTACCTGTTTACGTGATAATACTTCAAGTTCTTAACAAATTTTTGTTTAATTCTTTCAAGCCTACATCTGTACTGTATAATCCATCATCTTAATGTTTTCTTTTTTTTTTCTACCGGATGAATGTATTTGAATTTTTTAAAAGGAAAACCGTTAGGTTACACACTTTAATCTGTGTGGTCTGGTTCCCTTTCTTTAATACTGTGTGGCTCTTGAGATCTTGACTCCTGGGGATGCAGAGTCGGGTGTAATTAAACTGCTTTCCACATTCAACTCCTGCAGCCTGGCATCTCAAGGGAAAGCTGCAGATATATTTTAGTGATCCACAGTTTGCTGAAGCAGGCTACTGCATTTTGAAACTGAATCTAGGTCTCTTTACTCTCTCTCTCTCTTTAAGCTGAGGCAGCTCCATGCAGCGGAGGCATATCATGAAAAAAAGGAACAAGTAATAGATTTATTCCATGCTAAAAAGAGAGGAAGGAAAACACAACAGTTCGGCTGCAGAGCCTTCTTCAGGTGTACTTTAGACATGAGTCCACACCTGGAGAAGGCTTCACAGCCGAAAAACTTGTGTTTTCTTTCTTCTCTTTTCAGCATGGAATAAACCTATTACTTGTTCCTTTGCAGTCTACGCATGCTGACGCAGTTACCCACCTGAACCATCATGAAAGAATGTGCATCTTAAAAATATCATTTGATTTCCATGTATTTTATTTGCATTCATAAAAAATGGTGGGAAGTGAATGCAGATGCACATTTAGACATTACTGGTGGTAAGCTTCAGAAATAGTTACCATTATTTACTATTTAAATCCACAGAGATATATTGCTTTATTTTTAATAAAAAGGTAAACACAATAAGAATATTTAACAGACCACCATAACGTACTCATGTCTGAAGTAGGATTGAATTCTATGTATTCTAGCACTGTAGGTTTCACACAACGAACTGTTTGCCAGTCGGTTTTGTCAAAGAAACAGCACATTCTAGGCAACCTACAATTAGGAAAGTCTTATTAATTTGTAACAAATTAAAATGTTCAAGAAACCCTTAAAAACATTTAACAAATGTACATGCTTCTCTAAAAAGCTGACATAATTTTACTTTACTCACGTAATGTGTAGGTTATCCACTGGATGATACACAAAAGTATGTGAGATGGCAAGGACAAGGTAAAGGTATGGATTCCAAAGTGAGATGAAACACATTTCGCTAACATTAGAACTAATATACAGTACATGCATTTTTTTCTCATATTATTGCATTCTAGCTTTAAATACTGATAAAATATTCATTTTCCTCCAATTATAAACTCACCTAAGTTTTAAAAAATACTTTTACACCATTTTCTTATTTTGCTGTTCCCCCTCCTGCCTTCCTCTGGAGAAAATGGCTTCTTGTTGCATGTTTTGCAAGTCTTGTTTAGTGTTCTTCACAAACAGCCCAACCACATGGTGAAAGAATCCCTTTCCCTTGTGTTCACTCAGCATAGAGAAGCAACAGAAAAGGACAACACTGTTGCAGACAGAACCTTTCAGCAAACCCTTACTCTCTTTCAGTCTAACACAGAGGAAGGTGGCGGGCGAATGCAGCAGTTGGGTCGTCTAACGTTTTGCAGAACCGACCGGAAAACATTCTGCTGCCTCCTTTTCGTTTTTTTTCCTGGTGAAGTTTCAGAAGAAACGGATCTTCTCCCTTTAGTCTGTGACATTATTTTCTTCTCGTGTTCTCTGATCTTGCATTGGAGATGACTCTGAATAGCAAAGCCAAGGGATTCTGGGTCTAGGGAGGCTCCGTAAACTTCCCACGTCATCCCTTGTTCGTCCCATACAACATCCCGTATGTTCTTAGAAGCTTTTGGCTGCCCGCCTGCTTTTTTCCGTTGGTTGGCATTTTTTTCGGTCTCCTTTCTGGACTGATCCGAATGACCTGTTGGCTTGTCCTCTGAACATTTCTGGATTTGGACCTTCGTCTTGTCTTCTGATAGGACAGCCTTCTGTTCTCCATCTTCTTCATTTTTAGCCGATTCCCTGCAGCCACCTGGTTTCGATTGTGGTAGAAGAGCTTTGGGATCCTCTTTTTTTACATGGAATGATTCACTTACTTCCCCATGAGGTGGATCTGCCTGTGTGCAGGAAGAGGACGCTCTATTAGCATGACACTTGGAATTGCTCGGCTGAGTTGGCACGGTTGCTATGTCAGCCGCAACTTGGCAAGCATGGTTAGTTGTAATAGGTTTTTCAGAAAGACTGCTTTTACATTTCTGCACTGCCTGACTATTGTTTCCGGGCTCTTGTTGGTTAAGGCTTTGTGAGGCTGCGTGTTCAGTATTCTGCACCATAAGAGTGGGTATCAGATTGGTTTGGCTGGGAGTTTCTATATTTATTTGATATACCGGTTGTAAAGCTGGAAGATCAGTTTTGGGACTGCATATATATTGCCCTGTTGCTTTGGTCTTTGCTCCTGGACCAGTTTCATGCAGGAGTACTGAACCTGAATGATGAACTTTGTTCTGACATACAGTTTGAGACAAATCTGATTCTAATGTAGTTTTCTCAGACAAACTCTCCACGCACTGGTTGCTGGTATTCTGTGAAGAATGCACATGAACTTGTGAAGGAACTGCATGTTGTTGGAAGCATGAGCCACTACTCTCCGTGACAGACTTCTTATGTACATCTGCTGTGGTGATTTGGTAAACTGCCTGCGACCCAGCTGTCACATGATAGACAACAGTAAGATTTTCTGAATCTTCTTTCATTTCGCTGCAAAACATATGTGGCAAAACCGGGGGAAAAAGATATGGACTCGTGGCTGCTGACCTACTCTGGACACTGGTAACAGCCTGGACTTCAACATCCTGGCATTTCTTCATGGGAACTGGGCTGCATTCTGCTCGAACAGTCATTGTTCCAGCTTCCTTAAACTGCTTGCAGTGTTCCTGTTGGTTTTGTGTCTCTTCACCTTGCAAGGCACCGTGGGCATGTGCTGCTTGGCCTGCCATCTGTGCAAGAGTTAATCCTCCCTGTTGCCCTCCAGATCCTGCAGCATCCCGTGCCAAGAAGGCTGGTACATTTTCGAATGAAGCGCTCTCAAAGCTTTCCAAGGTTTTTAAATCTTTGTCAACACATCCAGGGCCTGATTCCTTTTTCACATCTGTAATTCTGATTGGTTTTGTTGGCCAATCTACTATATCATCCTCCAACGGGTCTTTGTGCTGTTTTATAGGTAAAATCTCTGTTTGTTTATTTTCCGCATTCTTAGGGATTTCTGAAATATAACCTGATGTTTCCATCTTCGACCTCTGTGTCTTGGATCCTAATGTATCAGGATTATGCATCTGTACAGATGTAGTCGTGTCAGAGTCAACCAGTTCTTTAGATTTTTCAGATAATGATTTGTCTTTGCTGGTGGATATTCCAGTATTGCTGTCTTTAACCTGTTTTGATTCCAGAGATTCCTTTAGACAATGGTCTTGCATTGATGTTCTAGTTGGATCTGCTTTATCATGACATTTGTGAAGGTTTTTAGTCATTTCTGTACTAGAGCCCTGTGCTTTTGATTCTACAAATGCCTTTGCAGGACTTTGTAGCTTCACTGTGCTATTATCTGCCTGCAAACCAGCCTTTGATGAGATAATCATAAGCGTCTGGCTTGCATTAGAAATATCCTCCTTATGAACTGTACTCAGCACTCTAAAATTGTTATTATTGCCCCTGTTGTCTTCTTTTATGTCACTGTTACACCTGTTTTTTGAGTCTCCACTGCACACAAGCTCTTTTGCAATTATTATTTCAGATTCCTTGTGCGCCCCATTAGGAGAAGCGGTTGGAGTGGAAATATCCACTCGACTTTGCTTTTCACAGTCCAGCGGTTTGTTAGTTGAACCATCATCTGGCTGCTTCAAGCACACACTGCCCTGCCTGTGCTCAGCTGGGGTGCTGAAAGCCCTGTTCAGTTTCAGGTTGGGTTCTTCATCCCGTTTTTCATAGGACTCCTTGCTTCCCAAGTGGTCGGCAACAGACAAAGGGCTTACCATCTGAACAGTAACAGTCCTCTGTGGATTGGGAATAGTGCCCATTTGAAGCCCTTTTTAGTTCAGTCAAGGAGTGTAAAGTCGCCTTAAGGACTGATGTGCTCTCTTTGTAGGGGATCCAAATATTAACACGATCTTAATATACCAATGCCAGCCTCCAGATTAGACTCCCTAAAATAAAAGAGAAAATCACAAGGCACTTCAATTTAGCATGACCAGTCAGAATTAAAAATATTTTAAAGATCTTTATCAAACACATCCTGAATTCTACTTTTTCTTTCAGTGGAACTGCAGACAGGTTAAATATTAGCATCTCTGTGCAGCTCTAAAACATTCTGGAGCTTGCTAAAGCTCAGTCAACACAGACACAGATCTGATATTGTACAATGCACAGTACACGTGGACATATATTACTAGTTAAGAACTGCAAATAAAGATCTTTACTATATGAAAAGATCATTTTAAAAATCATAAACTGACAAAACGTACTGAAGCACATGTTCAAAGACACTAGAATTAAATCTAATAACAATTAAATTAAGATTAAATGTAGGTGGGTAAGGTAAAATGACAGGTTTAATTTCATTTTCTTTTATGCAAAAAAGCATCAGAAGAACTCTAGCCCAAAGTTGTTGACAGTCCTGATACAAGGTGGTAGATGAACAGTAGTATTAAGCCATTTCAAATAATCTGTGACACGAATGTCATTTAAGACACACCAATTAAGAATGAATGAAAGGTTACAACCTGAGACAAAACCATTCACACCATTTAGCTCAATTGGTAGCTAATAGCTCATTTAACCAAGGCTTTCATCTAGCTGTTTGTCTAAATAAGCTTGGTTATCAGCTTCATCAACATGGCTGGGTACGTTGTTGCAGACCCCCACAATCCCACTGAACGTGGATCATCGTCTTTAGGACTGTGAATTCTTAAATCAGTACTCACATAACATTGAATCAGTGACCTGCTAAGCTTCTTGACTCAAGACTAAAAAGAATCAGTCTCTTCTGCTCGTCAGTGTACAACATTTCTTTAAGACCTGGTTGATTTTCTCCACTCAGTCCATAGCAGCAATATTTTTTGTAACATGCTTGCCAAAACTGCCAAAACTGCCAAAACACAAAATTCTAAAGGAGATCTTACCAGAAAATTGTAAAATCTTAATAACTACAGTAGCTTCATCACTCTAGTTTTCCAGTCTTATATTTATAGTTTATGTACAGTGCACACATTCTGTACAAGTGTAACTACAATACATGAGAAACACTATATTTTACTTAGATTACAAAGATTATAAAATTCACAGAAATACAGTACATGATGGCTTATATATTAAAAGTTAAGTTCTAAAGGTTAATTATAATTAAATATCAGACAAAATTATCTAAAGATTGAGTTAAATCTTGTCAATGAAATGGCAATGTTTAATATGGTTATCTGCTTTCCAGGATAATAATATTATAAATGCACTGTGCAGGATTTTGTTAACCAGAATGCAAGGACAACAGCACCATGCAGAGTTATTGGCCCAGTGTTAAAGGGAGTGGCATGTACCAAGACAATGGTTTTCAACGGTTTTCAACTAAGGACTACACAGTGCAAAAAAAATGTAGGAAAGAGGTACGCCTGCAGACTGGAGACTGCTGTTCTTGTGGTTTAGAACATGTACAGCTCCTAGAGCAAATATCAGAGTACAGTACAATACTGTATGTACTTGAAGTCACATGAGGCTGTTTGTCCAAAACACAGAATGGACACACAATACCTTCCCCCCTCACCCTGACCCTTACCTTACCCCAAGTAATGAACTGTAATTCTGACCATCACTTAATTCTTTCCTTGACTATAACAATAATCCCAATCCTATTCCTATCTTTTAAAGCTAACCCTCTCGTTATATTTATTCCTAACCCCATTCCTGGGTTCAAAAACCAGTACATTTTTGTATTTACTTTCAGTAAGTTTCTTCTAGTCATTACTATTATTATTATTATTATTAAAAATAAAAATAATAATAATAATAATTCGATTTGCACCCATGACAGCAAGTACTGTAAATGCCTGAGCTACACAACTGAATCCTTCAGCCCAGGGATATACAGTATACTATTCAAACATAGTGAAATGAATCTGTACTGAACCAATCATTGCACAATGGGAGCTAACCCTGAGTCACCAATTTACCCTTCAAGAGGTCATTCCCTTCAGTGACTGAACATTCAACAATTAGAGAAAGGAAAAAACTAACAGCAGTGCAATGCATTCTATATCCTAAGAGCATATTTCAAAGATGGTAACATTAAACAATAATTATCACTTACTATCCTGCTGATTTATGTCATAATGTGAATAAACACTAAATTTATATTTATATTATATTAAACACAAATTAATTACATTATATTTATATTGTACATGGATGATGTTCTTTTCTGGTTTGTTACATGCCACATTTATATGTAATAATAAGTATACAGCATATGAATGATAAAGATTGATCCTGTGTTGTGCTAATAAGCAATAATATAAGCTTTAGATGTAGCAATAAAATGGTAACACAAGCCTTTGTCTTTGTGGACTGATTTTATAACATTTTAAAGATTATAATTCCTAAAAAATGAAATAAGTAATTAATATAAAAATATTTACAATATAGCAACAACAAACTTCATCAGTACAATACCTGCAATTCTTTCGAATAATGACTTAATGCTTACAGTACATTACTTACATCTAGCTACACTTTCATATTATATATAAATATATTTCCTTTCTTCTCTTTTCAGCACGAAATAAACCTATTACTTGTTCCTTTGAAGAATATCATTATTCTTCCTTCAAACCTAGACTGAGTCTTGCTTAATATTTACCTTCATAACTGAAAGAAGAATGAAGGGAAGAAGCTGGTAAGCAAAATAAGATAAAAATGAAATCAAAACGTAAAATTCACACAAAGGGCAATTTTGGTTGTGAGGATCAGTCACTGTCTGGTTTCTCCAGATCTATAATCAGTTCTAGCTTTTGGCATATTGATCCACAATGATATTTCATTTGTGCCTCAACACCTCACAATAATTACAACATAAGTGGGCTCTTTGTATACAGGCTCATTTTTATTTGCAAAGGGGCTGAAAAGCTGTATACTGTACATACAGTACACCAATATGGTTTTAATGGACCTCAGGGAAGATCTCCAATTGTCCTACGCTGCTCATGTTCACTGAAAACACAAATCAGGAAAAATACTTATATTTTGAAATCAAATGACAGAAATGGTTAAAATGAAAGAATAGGTTTAGAAATTGAGATAAACCACCAACAAAAGTTGAAAATTTAGATTTATAAATGCAGTGTATAATTTAGGGTGAAACAGTCACTCTAGATAGTAATACTTAAATACAAATACAAAGCAACTTCCACAAGCCACAACAGGTTTGACCCTGATCCTTTTAAAGAAGCCAAGCAATGCTTTCTTCGCATAGGATATGATTCAGAGCTCCCTAACAAAATGAGGTGCTTCAGAAATCATTGCTGGTAGTTCATTTTCCTCCTTTGAATTAATACCTTCAGCAAAGGCCCAATTAATTAATAAGAAGTGTTTTATTACATTTGTATTTGGAAATTTGGATTGCAATGGTGGCACAGTCTGTAGGCATAAACAAATACATATTTTTGAGTATTTTGCCATCTGTTACTCCATGGATCATCAGCATCTGAAATTTTCATTTTTTTTTCCACCAAGAGAACCTCCCATTACACCTTCAATTTCTTGAAAGACCTGTCACTGAGGTCTCTTTCTTCACATTCTTTGGAGTGTGATTGGTCTCCCTTTCCTCCTGTGCAATATATTGGCATAGCACACTCATCTAACACTACAGTGCTCTAAAACGGCTTTGATAGATCTTGGTTGAACTAATCAATGGGAAGAAGGCCAAATCATTCAACTGGAAATTCAGCTGTCCAATAAAGGGATTTTTATATTCACGGCAGTATGACAGTTTTTTCACACTAGATAGGAAAATATGTCCAGTCCTTTTTTTTCTGAAAGTAAGAAAGTCCATTTTTATTTTTATCTTATTTTTTAATGAATATTAATGACCATCTTCATGTTTCAAAAACCAAATACCAATAAAACAATTGCGGTCCTAAATTTCCTTTGACTGCTGTTTAGCTTTTTTGGAAAGTTATTTATATATATATTAAAAATATGCACTATATTGTGGAAAAAATATGGAAAAAATACCAACCTTTACACTGCATGAGAAGATGGCACAACAAATAAAGATATACAGTATTACTAATTAAGGTAGTGGATAATTGTAGCTTCTCTTTGGCACAGCTTTAGCCCCATATCCATTTTCATCAACCTTTCTCTAAATACTGCTACTAAATAAATGACACATGAAACAAAGAAAAGCAAGACATACTGTACAGTAATTGTTACGGGCACAGCCAGCACCAATTAGCTCCAAATGATTCAATCTTCATTCCACACTTTTTGCCCACAACTATTTAAACCCTCTGCTCACTGCTACTGGCGCTTGGTATTAGGAGCCTCCTGAGCTTGCCTTGCCCCCCTTTCCTGAAACCCTCTCTACCTTGTCTGGATCCCCTCACCTACGACTCTTTGGCTTTGGACTTCTCGCTACCTCTCTTTCATCTTGCCCCTCTTGGATTTGTTTGCCTGACTTCGTTCTGACTACCTAGATTTGACCTCGCTTGGAATTACCGACCACTCTTCGCCTCCCATCTTGGATACCTTAGCTTTTGGACCGCGTCTCGAGACCTGAACAGGGTTTAACAGCCTGGCGTTAACAGTAATTACATATATGTCAAGACATGTAAGCGATGACATACAGTAGGCATTTCAGTATTTTACAGTATGGACAAATCACTTTAAGCATTTAAATTGACAAGTTCAGCAACTGCAGTCTTTAATGTAGTATCTCTCATCGTAATACAGCTTCTCCTGCTTACTCCATTTAGCTTTAGTTTTCAACAAATTATGGACTGCATTTTGCAACATTGATATTCAAAATTAAAGTAACCACCCATAAATGTAAACATATCTAATTGGAACTCTCAAAATTCTAAGTCATGACATAGGACTTAGGACAATACTACCACCATTGGTGGTGGTGGAGGGGAGTCCCCATTACCTGTAAAGC